ACACGTGCGGTATAACTTCGTCCCCAGTAAAAATACCAGAAAGAAATGTTTTTATAGTATTTTATTATTATAATGGTAACAACACAACAGTATATGTATCGGTTTATATATTTATATATATATATATATATATATATATAGATAAATATCTATATGTGTCAATATATCAATGTAGTCGTTGCATTTTTTACGAAAGTTTTAGAAAGAGTCGTACTCAAGCGCATACTTCCCTTTATCAATAAAAATAAAATACTACCAGATTACCAATTTGGTTTTCGTGCAAAGCATTCAATTATCCACCAAGTACATAGACTAGTTGACTCAGTTTCTTATGCACTTGAAAAAAAATTATATTGTACCTGTGCTTTTCTTGATATTACACAGGCCTTTGACCGAGTATAGCATGAGGGATTGCTATACAAATTAAAAAAACTTTTGCCCCCTACTTATTAAATTCTTCTTAAGTCATATCTAACCGATCGATATTTTCAAGTCCATCATAAATCAGCATATTCTAATATTGCACCAATTAGAGCTGGTGTTCCACAAGGAGGCATCCTTTACCCATTACTGTATAACATATACACTTCAGATCAACCAACCACGACTAACACATTAGTGGCAGACTATACAGACGATAAAGTAATTTTATCAACCAATGCAGATCCCATTATTGCATCGTATAACTTACAAAATCACCTTTCATTAATGGAAGTATGGTATAAGAATTGGAGGTTTAAGGTCAATCAAGCAAAATCAATTTACACAACTTTTACTCTTAAGCTTGGACAGTGCCCAAGTGTTACTCTTTATGGTATTCAAATTCCATCTTCTTCGTCTGTAAAATATCTTGGTTTAACCCTAGACCGCCGACTTACCTGGGCCCATCATACTCGTGCAAAAAGACTCCAATTAAACCTTAGAATCCGTATGCTTAGAACTTTACCAATTAATAATAAACATACTAACTTGAATATGAAACTTCTAGTGTATAAATCCCTTATTAAACCCATTTGGACCTATGGTCTACAACTATGGGGAAATGCTAAAAAATCTAATATAAATCGTATTCAGGCATTTCAAAAAATTTCTTTAAGAAAATTAACTAACTCACCTCCATACGTATCAAATTATACCCTCCATTCTGATTTAAAAATTAAAACTGTTAAAGAAGAAGCAATAACTTATTATAAAAGATTCCACACTCCACTAGCCTCCCACTCCAATCCCCTAATAAAAGGTCTTTCAACTAATGCTATTCCTGGTAATCCTCCGAGACGCTTAAAGCGCAACTGGTGTAGAGATCTATTAATATAACTTTAGTTAAAAAATAAAAAACAATCACTTAAAAGTGTCATCAATGGGTGGCTTCTTTTATCAAGTATTCAATGTTATAATTATTTTAGCTAATACTCTTATTGTACCTATAGGGAACAGATTGTGTATATATTAATAAAAGAAAAAAAAAAAAAGTCGTACCTAAATGGAAAAATACTTTTCGCAATCGAAAAAATGAAAAATAGGAAAAGAAACACTAAAACAACACAGAGCGGTAAACCATTTAAGGTGTACGTCAGAAACGGAACAGAACGCATTATCATAGTACATAATCGGCGGCGGCCTTGTCACGGTGTCAAGGGCAGGGGACAAACGATTGTCACATTAATAGGTGGACGGCTGATATCGAGAGAGACACGGGTGAGCACCAGCCTAGAGTGTAGCGCGGTGCCGTGTCAGAATATAACCACAAATTTCAAATGCTTTCATCATACTTAAATAATTGTTCTACATTTTTCTTTAAATTAACTTTATTAGTTCATAATAGTACCAGCCCCTATTGGCGGCAACACCCAGTCAGGTAATACTAACGAACATAGTTCATACGCATATGTCATTCAACAGCATAACTTTAAAAAAAATACCCAAAATGACTTGACGACCAACACAGACACCAATGACTTCACTAAAGAAATCTCTTTATACTTAACAGATCTCAAGTCCGTAATCAATCCTTTGATATCACTAATAACAACTGTAATAAGCAAATTTATCCTAAAAAATTATTAACAATAACTCATCTTAAAACACATGATCTCAATATACTTTTTTATATCACAAATATCAAATCAGATAAATATAAATATTGAGAACATTTCTGACCTCTCCAGCGATCATTCGCTTATCATATTTACCAATGGTGGCAAAGTATCTGTTTTCTCCAGGCCATCTCTTACAAAACGACCCATTAACTGAGAAAAATGTTAAAATTAATATGGATAATGTCATTAATCTTAACATTTCACTTAAAACGCGAACAAACATCGGCATGGCTGTTCATAACTTTTATTGATAAATGTCTCTGCTATTACTGCGCCATCTAATACAAACCTACTTAAAGGCTCTATTAATCAAGAACTTCCATCTTGTATTAAAGCGCTAATTAATGAGAAAAGACGTACCAAGACAAAATGGCAAAACACACGTTATGGATCCTAGAAACATATACTTAACAAATTAACTAATAATCTAAAAAAAAATTAAAAAGTTTAAGTCTGAACAATATAAAAGTTATTTAAACTCAATTAACCCTATGGATAACTTTCTGTAGAAAGACACAAAACTATTAACCAATATCAAAGAATTAATCCCTCTTCTGCGTAAAGAAGTTCACTAGCTGTATCAGATGATGAAAAGGCATATTCATCAGGTACACAGGCTGCCAACACTATTGCCTCAGAACTAGAAAACAAACAATATTGCACCGGATTGGTTCTATATGTCACCCAGGCATTTAATCGTGTCTGGCATAATGTTTTTCTCTAAAAATTAAAAAAAAATGCTACCAACGCTATTTTACCTAATTATTAACTCATTTCTACAAGAAAAAAAATTTACAGTAAAGCAAGGCTGTGCCAATTCACCGTATTACTAAATTGAATCTGGTGTTCCTCAAGGCAAAGACCTCGCACCCGATTCATACAACATTTTTACTGTGGATATATCTCATAATACGAATACTCTGATAGCAATTTTTGCAGACGACGCAGACATATTATCAACCCACATCAATATCAACGCTGCAGCCCATTACTTTCAAGCGCTTAGAATCGTATAGAATCGTATAGAATCGCATGTGAACCGTATAGAATCGTGATTCAGAAACTGGAAGATCAAATTTATCGAAAACAAGTCAAGTTAAGTTACTTTTGCTCTCCGTTTGGAAATGTGATCAACTATCACACCAATAACGCTACTATACTACAATATATACCACTCAAAACTTAAATCAAATACAAACCCCCTAAAAAAACGAATGTGCACTACCAACTTACTCGACAATCCACACGAAGACCTAAAAGAAACTGGAATTGTAATCAAATAACATAAAACATTAAAAAAAATAAAAATTTAATTTTTTCTTTTTGACCAATGAGCTTCCTCACACACTAATAACTCAAGTTATGTACATTTACTTGACAACAACAAAAAAAATATTGTAAATAATACATAGATTGTTTTGATAATAAAATAAAAATTAAAAATAAAGTTCATAACATAAAAAGTGGACAGAAAACCTTTACAAGATGAAATAAATTTCTTTTGAGTAATAATTTTACGGGTCTAGATATTTGTGGTAGATAAAACCTGTAAATAAATTAGGAATAAAAAGAATTTTTAAAGTACAAAATATCATCCTAAAGGTGTTATGACATAATATTATATGGAATATTACAATAATTATCCAATTAATCGCTAGGAAAACAGTTACTAAATTATTTGGAATTATAGGATTATTTTGAAATATATATAAGGTTCAGTAAGTAAGGAAACGGGTTTCTATTGTTCTCATTATTTGTAAAAATTGACCTGTTTTCTTACTTCTGTACACCTTTTATAATGAATATTTGAGTAAAAAATAATTCTAAGTATTGTACTTTTATACTTATAAAACGATAAAAGAATATGAGATAATCTCAACTTACAAATTTCCAATCTATTATTTAAAAGAACAGTATCGGAAAATTGTTAAAGAGCAATTTTTTTTAAATTGAAAGTATTTGAAATAGAATACATCTATTTGTATGAATACTAAATAAATAATAATTTTATTGTTGAAGTCAAATTTTAATAAATTTATTGTGTCAAATTCATGTTCTATTAGATAAATATATTATTGCTCATGTTTATTGTATTAAATATTCAGGGCCGCTTCGAGAGAAATGGGTGGGTGGTATCACATTCCTTCACTTGGCAAAATTTAATTGTTTTAGTCGGAAATTTTTAATATAAGAGAATGCTACCCCAAAAAAGTTATTAAAAAAGATTGCACAATATTAAAACAATTATCTGATTAGTAAAAATATATTTTTCACTTTACCCCCTATATTTTAGTTTCAAGACGGCCCTTTAACTATAAAATGTACTAAATTAAACACAACACTACCCCCATAAAAATGATTGACGCTGTATGCTGGTCATTTTTTTTTTTGACGTTATTATATTCAATCCCATAATTATAGTTAATGGTAAATTTTGATTAATATTGTAAAGAAAATATGTGAAACTAAAACTGATTAAATTGTTAGTGTTTTCGGAAATATTATGAGACTAATGATGACTAAATTGCGCACATCATGTACATTAATTTTTTTAATTTATCTGATTTTCAGGAGACTGTTACTTCTGTAGTATTTTTTAATGTGTGTGTAATAATTTAGAATTATTGTTTGTAGACACTTGGCACTGTGTCTAAAAGTACCTAAAGAGAGAAAAAATGAAAAGCGTGTCGCATTTACAAGTGAAAACGTGTCAAGGTATTAACATTTTCTTTTCAAAAGGCAACGCACAATTTTTGTAAACTAAAAAGATTGTTATAAATATTATTTTTATTCCAGTTGTTATATTATTTTCAGTTGCACGATTAAGATTAACAGTGTTCACAGCAAAAAGTGTGAAAAAGCAAAGTAAACATATCTATACATATGTATTGTCTTGAGTACCTCATAATCTACCAAAGACACAGTAGTGTCTTTAGGAATATTTGTGAAATGTATTGAGGACCTGTTGGAAAGATTTTGATTCTCTCTACATTTGCGACAAACATTACCGATTACTTTAGCGTGATGAGCCCATCGCTCCCTGTAATGTGCCATTTCTTCGTCAACTTCTTGTTGGCCTTGCTAAATGTATACATATGGCAACGATATTGGATATTTTTTGTATTTTATTTGACAAAATGTAATAATAAGACTAACAATATAATAACTCACCTCTTTTTTAGACTTCAGTTCCTCTGAGTTAAAACTATTCAGTAACAACGCTAAGAACAAATTAAGGACCATAAAGTTTCCCATGACTAACGCCGGTAAAAAAATAGCAAAACAAATTCCAAAGCCCTAATTAAAAAATAAAAATATATAAATCGTTAAACTGGAAAAATAATTTAGGTAGTCAAATCACAGGCATAAAAAAAGATTTCTATATGTAATAATTATAATAATTCTTCAAAATCTAAAGATATTCGATCCATTACTATTAAAAAAAAAATCATATACTGTTAAAGAAAATATTTTAAGGGACACAATTAAATCAGCTAAAAAAATTATTTATTTTACCTATGAATAAATATAAATGTATAATACACTATATTTATTTTTAGATAAAATAATTTTTTTTTAATTTTTGTGAGAACTATATTTTTAAAAATATATTAATAAAATATAATAAAGTGAACTTACTTCATTTTCTTCAGCTTTCATGCAGTCCCAAAGTGGTTCAATCCATTCACCGCATAATATACGAAAAATCATCATAAATGAATGAAAGAAATCAGAGAAATTCCATCTGATAAAATAAAAACACTTAAATGTAAACAAACATTTATTTTGAAAATAATATAAGTCTTAATTTTCATGAAATGGTACAAAGTTGTGTCTTTTTATTAAAATTAAGAATTGTTTCACTCTTAAAAATTTCATTTTAATGTTTGAAATGTAGAATTCTGACACAAAAGTTTAATTAAAAAAAAAAAAGTCTTCAATTCTCTATTTTCTAAATTTTAAATATTGAAGGTATTGGGATTGAGATTATTTATGGTTATTGAATGTCAGGATTGTAACTAAAATATTCAATTAATATTTAATAAATTACCTATTATAAATAAGCTTTATTTAGTTATATTAAAAAAAAAACCCAGCACAAACGCGGCTGAGTGGGGACGTGGCATAATTGAGTCAAGTATAATTATATCTGACAGTGATTAAAATCACTATCATAAAAAACGCTTCGATTCAAATGTGTAGATAGTGTTTAATTTAAAAAAAGTGGTGGATTAGTCCAAAATCTACATGATCTCATATTTCCTTATTTAATCCTGATTACAATTTTTATGATTTATATGTGTAATATATGAATAAGTACATATGTATATATATATTTATAATATATAAATATATAAAGGGAAATGATTTTATTTAAAAAAAAGTATGTCGAATGAAAGAGGTATATAAATATTATTTCTCATAAAAAAATTGTATTGATCCATACATTTTTCAAAAAGTTATAGCATAATAAAAAAAAAGTTAATTTTTTGTGAAAAGGTTGTCATTTTAAATCCCCTCCTGTGGGCAGGTAAAGGGTCAGATTTAGAAAAATATATATCAAATGATAGGTAAAGACATTATGCACCTATAAAAAAAACTATATTGATTTGGTCATTTTTAAAAAAATTATGGCAGTTTTAAGTAAAAAAAATTGAATAAATTTAGAAATTTAGCGATTTTTAAATTTGTAATTTTTTGGATATTTTCTCCATTTACGGGGAACAAAGGGGATTTTTTTCAATTTTTGAGGGTTATGTCTTTGACTAGATACGATTTGTGATTTTTTGACGTTTCGTTGAAAGAAATCGTTTTGGTGAGAGCTGAAAAAAAGTGGTAACAGACATAAAAAAAATACACATCATAGTACAATAAATATCTTCTCAGCTTCGCATCAAAGCTAAAAATGTTATGATTATCATTTATTGTGTATAATAGTTTAATTTTATTTACTACTTGAAACAAAAAAAAGATTAAAATAGACTAATAATTTAGAGATACGAGGGAAAATAAGAAAAGAAATAATGGTATATTAATGATTTAAATGATACATATTAGGTGTATTGAGTGTCCCATGAGGTTCTCATAAATCGCCATAAAAAAGTATATGGATATTTTATAACTTCGATGGAAATCCTGTACAACAGTTATACAGAATTTTCAAAAAGTAAGGAAATAAGTCAATTGTTACAAACAATGAAAACAATAGAAATTCGTTTCCTTACTTACTTAACCACATTTTATAAAAGGCTGATATGTTTTTTTCGTCTACAAAGTGATATTTTAAATAAAAAACTAACATTATCGCTTTATAAACTGATGTTATCATGTTTTATAATAATGGCTAAAGAAGAAAAATGATGAAATGTTGTTTTAAACTTGAACGCAAAATATAAATTTAATAAATATGGTCGGGTACTTATAAGCTATAGATTACCCTAAAACTTTATTTATTATTACCTTGGAACGGGATCAGGGTAGAACTTTTCGGGCTTATAATCCTTGGAGAACAGTTGCATACCGATGACTGCAAATATGTATATTATGATGATCAGCACAAAAGTCAAATTACCTAGTGCTCCAATAGTCGATATTATAATACTCAACAATACTTTCATGGTAGTCCAAGATTGAGCCAGCTTGAGAACTCTCAGCTTTAAAAATTCAAAAAAAGAGTTAGCACTTGTATAGCCTATCAAAATAGTATGGTGGCCGAAACAATATTAGATGGTTACGGCTCATTTTATTACAACAAGCAAAAAATGTATAACTCAAATCAATATCAGAAAAAACCCAGCACTTCATCTTTGCATTTCATTTATTCTGATGATCAATTAAAAATTATTTAATTTGCCTAACTTATCTTTAATTATTAATTAATAATGATAAAATTTAATGTTTATTCTAGATTTCAATTAATTAAATAAATACCTGTATTACTAATCCTAAAAATTTTATCAAAATATTTTAAAACTCATAAAGTGAATTTTTCATATTTCCTCGAAGTACAAACATATAAAATTGTCAAATATTAAAAATTTCTCAAGATCTTGTACAATTATTATACATAATTCAGTTTTTTTTTTCGAAAAAACAGACTGAAATTTTCAGAAAATCCCGTTTTTTTAACTATTTTAATTTACATGTGGGTTGATTTTTTAACTCACAAAACTCATTGTGAACATATTGTATGCTATAGGCTAACACAAATTGACATGATAAAATGATAACTTAACTGTCATAACAACAATTATATCATAAATAAGTTTAAATTAGTCAACGACTATTTACTGAAAAACATAAAGTTAGATAAATAGCGTGTAAAGGATAACGTTAAAGGTTTTTAAACGAACAGAGGGTATGGTTCTAATATATTTAAACACAGCACTTTGCAAAATGTAACGGTGACAGCAATCGACATACACTTTAAAACCATTTGGAAAACAGTTTTACACTTTATTTCACGCCCAACACATTTCCTTTAGTGTTAGCATTCAATTTCTTAACATGCAAGTTAAAAGACAACAGATTGCTTAGCATAACCTAAGGTAATATGATCGATTATAAATGTGACAAATTTAAGATGCGAAAATAACATGATTTTTTTTATTTATGTATATACGATTAAATAACATAATGCAATTAATATGATTGTGAATAATAGAATAATAAAAGAACAAATTATTTTTTCAGATATTTTAATGGGAAGAATGAAGATAGTTTAACTTTACTGACAAAATTCATTAAAATAATACTCATAAGTCATTTTGAACTAAAACGTGCAGGAATTTATTTAGTATCAAAAAATTAATTACATTTTTCGTTTGGGAATAGAATAAATGCAAAAGCTTTGAATAACAACTAATGATTAATAGTTTGGTTTAAACTCAATAAATTATTGATGTTTTATTATGTGAGTTATATTATGAGATTTTTTAAATTTACAATCTTCGCAGTGAATTTAATTTTTAAACAATATATTTAATTTATAAATATGACTAACATTAATTCAAAAAAAGTACTACAAACATTTTTTTTTAATAAAAAATATCTATGGTACATCATTTCATAATAAATCATACCAAAATACATCTAAACTATTATAAAATATGTTATTTTTTATGTTGCTAAATGACGAAGTGTCTGAATTGAGTTTAGTTAGAAGGCAAGTCAGTTTTAAGTTTTAGGAAACTACTAAAATTCACAATTACGTAACTATAAATACTTTACTTACCAATCTCAAGCATCGTAGTACCGATAAACCGTCAATCATTTCAAATGATAAATCTAACAAGCTTGCCGTTACTATGATCATGTCAAAAATATTCCAACCGCAATTGAAAAAATTGTTGCTTAAAGCTATTAACTTGAATAGGCACTCAATAGTAAATATAGCAGTAAAAATCTATAAGTAAGGGAAACAACAATTGGACAAATAATTAGTTAGTTATACTTTGTTATAAGTGTATAATACTATTTATAACAGTCAAAATTATTAATAGTTTATTTTATTATAGTATACAATCATTATATTATTTTATTGGGTATAGACTACTACTAACACTACGAATAATCTTCCAATTATTGGAAGAATACTAAATTACCTTGTTTCCAACATCCAGAATGTAAGCTACATTATCTGACATACCATGATGTTCAATTGCCAATACAATAGTGTTACAAATAATACAAGCCATTATGAATAACTCAAATAACGGATCTCTGACTACTTTATAGAGACATTTTTGAACTTTTAACCATGTCTGGTAATCAATACAATAACTTCTGTTACAATTTGGACAATTTTTCTCTATTCAAAATAAATTAAAAAAACTATTAATTCTTAATAAATTATATAGAGACATCAGCGTATCATCTAAAATAAAAAATAAAAAGTTTTTTCCTAAAACAGTGCTGGCTAAATGTAACATAACATTTTAAAAATGATAAAAAATTTATCATAAATTTTAAATTAAATTAAAATTACAAGTTCAAAGAAAAAAATTATGCAATAAACCATGAGTAGAAACTGAAATATTAAAAACTTTAAATATAATATGCTAAATCTATTTTTGAATGTAATATTTTTTAAAATTCTTGTATTTTAAATTGATATTTAATTAAAGAAATAATTTTTTTTAACATTTTCAAAACTACAATAACCAGGCACAATGGGTACAAATATAGAAGATATCTAACAATGATTAAAATCACTATTATAAAAAAAGTTCCGATGCAAATCTGTAGATAGTATTTAATTTTTTGAAGAAATTGTTGGATTATTTTCCAAAAACAACAGCAAATCCTATTTCATTAATTATATCCAGATTACATTTATGATTTGTAAGTATAGTACATGATTAAATACTTATCAAAGTAATTAAATTTTTTATCAAATTGATATTTAAAAAATTAGAGTTCTAATTATTACTGAGATTATAAAAATGTTTAATGTTGTTGTTTGAAAACTATTATTATATTAAGATTATTGTTTTGATATTTTTTAATTTTATATATATCTTGATTTATCAATTATTAAATTTTTTTTAATTTATACCTGATAACTTACAAGAATATCAATCCATTCTTTAAATAAGCATATAAATATTTAACTAGAAAATAAAATATAATAAACCCTGAAAGTATTTATAACAAACAATTAAATCATTATTATAATTTTTTTTTATTAAAGGGGGTTTACATAGGGTAACTACCCCGTCTTCTTATAGAACTATAACATTTGACTTAAAATATAGACAAAATGAATATAAAAAATAATTGATATAGAAAAATGGTGATGTTTTACACCAACGTAACATTTTTTGAGTTATGTTCGGGGTCATTTACATATACAAAATAGTATGTCGGGGGACATTAATTTTTTAATAATAATAGTATTATAATTATATTATAGCACTTAAGTTTGGCATCAATATAGATTCTTACATTAAAATTGCAAAATTTAAAGAATAATGTGCTAAAAAAATTGTATTTATCTTTGAGTTGAATTCTACAAAATTGGATGCAAGTGTTTAAATTTTTATTGGCATTGAGTTTACTATCGTCAAATAACGTTATAATGGTTGTTTAAGTTTTAAGCACTATTTGTTATTTTAATCAATCTAAGAATAAACTGAAAAATGCAAAATAAATGTTATTTAATTTAAATAACTGAATTAAAAAGCTTTCATCATTATTAAAAATGCATTTGTCATAATACAAAATATATAAACTGGTGTGATTGTATGTAATCTGAACTAATCTAAAAAAATAACTTTATCGTCTATAAAATAAGGAAGTTTACATGCAATAGAAAAACAAGGTTGCGTGTACAGCGAATCGAATAATTCTACTAAAAAATAAAATATACAATTTTCATATCACTATAAATAACATAATATTTCAACCTTATAACGACGATCAATATAGTTACACAAGTATAGATTACAGAGAAGAACCACTTTTAGTAAACCTTTATTGAACATTAGTCTTATAGAAAAACGATTTATGCACCTTAATTGTAACTATTGAAAGTTTACTATACATTTGAACATTATAATGATACTATTGCTACTACTTTATATTGGAATTGTTAACCAATGAGAATACTAAGAATTATTACTTATGGAATATTATTTTGTGTTATAAATAGTTTTAGAACACGGTTGAGACCAGAGGAGGATAGATTTAAAGCCGTTATTAATTTACACATACCAATAACCACCACCTGAGACACGTACTCAGCTTCGCCTTTGCGACCAAATGGTTTTGTTTTCAGGCCATTGCATTTGATTACTTTAATGTTCTTAGCTACAGCTTTATCATCATTAGTACTATCATCATTGTCATTCTTCATTAAAAAATAAAAGACAAGTATTTTAAACTTTTAGCGAGATAATAATATTGTTTCGTTTTTAATTATACGGTATATAATACATACCGTATCGTTATAGGAATACTTGTTTTTTATATAATAAAAACTTAATTTTTTTATATCAGTTATACAAATTTTTCGAATGTCTTGAGAAACAATAAAAAAATTATTAACAAAGTTGTAATATAATTTTTTATGTTATTTTATAACTGATTGTCTAAGTAGTTAATTGCGTGAAAGTTTAATGTAATTTATTTTATTGATTAAATAAAAGTAACATTTGTAACGATAATGATATTTTTTAATAGTGAATACTATTAGATATTATTCTGATTAAAATATTAAAAAATGTTTGAGGATTCAGAATACCAATAATTGGTTAGTTAGGGTACATTGCTTTACGATTATATGATATATTTTTTCTAAAGTATCGAATTTATTTATAAATGTCTTCAATGATTTCTAATAATACTTTTAAATAGTTGGGAAGGAAAGTTACCTTAGGTAAATAACGGTATCCGCCTTGCTGTGGTTGTGGAGAAGTGTGTTGTGAATGTGACAGTGAAGTGACTTCGCCGTCTTCGTGATCATCCACTACACCGGAATCGTCTAAAGACGATTCCCTATTATTTCCTTCACTTGTATTGGCACTGCCCTGTTTACTACCTGATAACCACCGTTCCCTTCCTAAATTATACAACGAAGTAGTAACAGTGTTATCATTTATTATTAATACATCAATAGCTTTTAACACAGAAAATAATTGTTAAATATCAATTTATCTAGCAACAATTACAGAAGGATTCTTAATTGAATAAAACAAATCATTTTTTTGCCCAATCATCATAGTATAAAAGTAAGCTATTAGATAAATTTATTATATTTTTAAAACAATTTTTTCAGAGAAATTTGTAATCTAAGCTATGATAACACTTGATGTTCATTCTTGGGGTATGCAAAGAGTCTATTCGGTAGACGTATTCAAAAATTTGGCGCCCGAGTACTAATATGTTGTTGTTCCTATAACATTTTTTTCTTTTGCTAACCAAAACAATTTCATATACATTACCAAAATATTGATGAGAAAAAAAGGGTAAAAAAAAAAAAAAAAAATTAACAAATATGATGAAAGAAGTATTATTTGTAAAGTTTATAGTTATTATATTTTACTTTTTTATAAAAATGTTATATAAAATATAAAAGTAATATATATAATATACATTAATAAATAAATTAATGAATTAAATATTCAGCATTTGAATTGCTGATATATTAACATATGTTACAAAGTGACAATAACTCATGTTAATCGATTTTCTTTATTATGTCTAAATAAAATCTTGTTTTATTGATATTAAACAACTTTTGCGATGGGTAAGATCGACTGTTGGAGTGACAATGTATCGCCGCGAGCTAATGGGGTGATTCTTTTTACTCGGTTTGGCGGAAATTCTTCCTCATTCATACTTTTTTACTTAATTATGGCTACTAAAGCTTATGCTGAGCGTCCATTAAAGAAAAATGAAGGGGCACATCCCTTCTGGAGAGTTAATGGAAAGTAGGTTCAAAGGGGAGCAATAATCAATACAATTTTTTAGATGTGAAATATCTAACGTGTCAACTCTCATTTCAATCGACTCGGCGATCCTCTCTCTTTATACGTTTTACCAACCTGACAATAGTCTGCTGTGCCTGGTGGAAGATTAAAACGGCTATTTAAGCCAGTTTAAATTTTAAAAATCGCTTTTCTTCGTTTTGTGATAGGATATTTCCAAATAAATATATATATATATATTTAATGTATATGTAAATATATATATTAACAAATTATAATTATATAAAGCGTCTATTTTTAAGCAATTAACTAATTTGTAATTTTCTTATACTAACGGCATAGTGTCATAGGTGATTATTTATAATAATAATAATGGTTAAGCCTGAAACGCATTACAATCAGTGCCGAATCTGTTTCCAAAAAGTTATAATATAAATTATAAAATACGATTCTCTATTCAATTTTCTTATCCTATTTACAAAACAATAATTAAATTTTTTCATTTAAAACAAAGATAATTTCAACATAATTCTACACGAATGACTTTTTCTTTGGGCCTTAAAAAATGTTGAGGCTTTAGAACAAAAAAATTTTAAAGCCTAGATGCAATTTTCCTTTCACGTCTGGTAAATTCGGCACTGGTAATAATATAAAAAAAAAACTATTTATTTAAGCACTACACTTTTACAAACATAATGTGTATTATAATTTCAAAAATATTTATTAAGTTTTTTACCTTGTGGTGCGACAAGAGCGTGAGGGCGTAGAGTGTCAGCTGCAGCTTTTACTGTTGTATTGCCAGGCGGTGGTTCCGGCTGAGGCGGTGGAATCACTGGTTTTGAGCATACTGTGATGGGAGGATTTGAATGGTGAACTTTATGCTTAGGGCTAGGTGTAGACATTCGACTACCTGAGTAGTCATCATCATTACAGTCATCAGTCAGATTAGGAATAGCCTTTGATAATTGTCGATTGTCTTCTTGCTGCTGAGACTGTTGCCTTTGATTTAATCGACGTCTTCGAGACTTCTTCCTTTTCTTTGTAACTGACGAAAGAAGTAATGTTTTTCGACCGTCTAATTTTTTGTTTGGTCTATTCTCTTTCCCTTGTAACTTTTGTACAGGTATTCGACTGGGGTCAAAACTAAACGTTGATTCGTCTCGATAATCCGTCAAGTCTTTTCGTCTCTCCTATTGTTAAAATTAACAAGAATAAAATTTATCTCGACAAATTATAATGTAAACATTATTTTTTATTTTATTTATTTATTAGACGGCAATATTCCTAATAACTATAAATTTTGTTCTTTTATTCTTCAACTGGGTGACACATAATTTTTAAAAAAATGCTTTTAACATATTATAACATAATTTATGTTAAGAAAATATTTTTTTGTACCTTAGTGAGACTTTATTTAGTTATTTAGCTTTTATTAGTAATTTTGGTTAATTTAATGAATTTTTGGAATATTTACATACGTTTATATATATATATATATATAATACAAAATTACTGAAGACATATTTCGTGTTTTTGTACTTAGTAAAATATTATTGCCCTATGTATATTTCTGAAAATAGATTCTTAGAATTTGTCTGAGTGATGACTAAGTGGAAAGTAGTGATAACGTTAATATTCTGGGCTTAGGACGCATTGAATGATATTATGGAACGATGTCTACTGACTTGTTAACTATGTTCAAATTTACAATAATTTTATTTAATATTCACTATTTATAGGAATTTCAGTGTCGGGTTTTAATTCATTCGAGTTTTACTAAAAACATGTATTCCAAGTTAAAATTGATAACTCATCAAATTTAACTAGGACACACATCGAACACTTGTAGTTAACACACGAAAATGTTTTTATCATTTTGCAAGAAAAATTTGAAATAACCATTTCTGTAGAAAACTTGTTTAAACGATACAAGAATACAAATTCCTAGCCTTTTGATAACAATTATAATTGTTATCAAAAGTTAATAATTATTAACTTGCGTGATTCTATCATTGGTACCATATTGTAATAGGATATTTCTTAATAGGAGATTTAATAATACATTCGCTTATTCATTATTATTCACAATTAAATTTAGACACGTGATCCTATTTAATTAAAAACCCGTGTCTTAGATATATTTTTTGATAAACTTAATTTTCTTCTACTTGATTTTTCAAGTCAATTACAGATGCTCATCCAAACGTTAATCATTTTCATGGAAAAGAAATCGCGTACTATTGCCAGTAAATAACGTAATAAGATAATGTTTATTTCCGTCGTTAACATAATATGGTCTAACATCTGATAACATTAAAAAATCGTAAAAAATTAAAAATTTTATAAACGCGTGTATGAAAAGAAGTCAATGACACATAAAGAACTTAAACAAAGTTGAAAATATTTTTTGAAGTACATTAATCAGTAAGAGCAAGCGAATTCTTAAAATAAATATAAGAATGTGTTTCTAGGTTTATTATTATATTACAATACGCATTTTAAAGTGAAGTTTTGCGTACTGTAAGACAGTATAAAAGATATGTATCTTATTGAAACATTCATTATACCAAAAGTTACGAATAATCTCGTTTAAATATTATTTTTAGAATCAAAAAAAGAATGATTATTATGTAAATCATTAATTGTGTTTTTGAAAAAAAATTATAGTATCACTCATTGTAATTAAAAATTTCTGGGTACTCCTCTGAAAGTAACAAAAATTAAGTATTTGCAAGTAATCTGCTATATTTAAACAAATAAACAAAATAAAACATTGATACACAAGATAGCTTTTCATTCATTGCTATCTTGTTTCCTGAAAAATTTTAGGTTATACGAGTAGCTGTTGGGTTCGTATACAAACAACAATTGAAAAAAAGTGTTACAGTAGACATAGACGGTGATAGTATAGTGGTTTACCTCTTGTGTGATTTCCGCTTCTTCTTCGTAACTCAGGGCAACCACAGCTAACATGAGATTTATCAGGTAAAACGAACCAAAGAATACGACTACGGTGAAGAATATAACACTCATTGGACCGCACGTAGCCAACACCTGAAAAACATCCGGTAGTTAGTCTCTCTTTATTATTAATTTATCGTGTTGATGACATCGTCGTGAACAGATTGACAGAAAAATCACACGACAGTCAAGATTTATCAGTGTGATGAAAACCACTAGAAATCTCTTAATACTTAGGGTTTGCATGACCTAAATAATAATGCAGGTTGGAAGCAAACGAAATATTTCATCTTTACTTTTGTATACTAACGATTCAAATTTTTTTTTATCATCTTTCCATCACTTACGTTTGTTTGTCAAGTCGTTGCGGGTGATGGATTTTGATCGTATAAATTCAATAAATCTAGAGATGTGCGTGTAAATATTTTAACAACTTAGTAAACAGCGAACTTGTTTAACTTAAAATTAACTATCCATTTGGGAATCAAGACCAATTACATCACATTTAAGACAAAGGATATAATACAACTTAAGTTAGTTATTTATTAATTAACACATAAATAATTTATCATTAAACCCAATCATGAAATTCAATCTAAACATAATTTTTTATAGAATCATGTGTAAGATTTTAAAAAAATTTTCATAAAAGCATTACTGTTATATTAAAAACAAGAATAATTTTTAGTTACTTAAATTGTAATAGTATTTTGCATAATACAATTTAAAGACATAATATCTTATAAAGTATATTGTTCAAACCTTATATCAATTACTTCCTTTAAATTATACATATTATTATATCATAGTTTAATGTCTGGCTACTGTTTAGTCTTAAATATAAAAATTGCAGGGTAGAGACGTTATAAAATAATGAATTATATTATGTTAATAATAGTGATATTTAACTTGTAGTTTATATGGCTCGATTAACTATTAAATCAGTTCTCCAGTAAATTTTTTTTTTTTTTATTACTTATTTTAGATTTAAAAGATTATGAGTTTTATGAAAAATATATTTTTTTAGTTATTAAAAGTGTTTCCTATTTAGACAATTACAACACATAATAATGCGTAACAAATTATTAATTCACAATAATTTATTATTTTGATATCTGTCCATAAAATTTATAGAACAACAGAAAGACATTATTAAGATTTTATCAATTCTAAGTTGATATTAAAAAAAATTAAATACAATTTTAACAAATTTTTTAAACTTTATTCATATAATATATTACTATATAGATAAATTTTATTCAATATTTGAAACACAGAAAATGATACTGTCATGAAATTAAATATTTATCAATATTTAACAATATAAGAATGTTTCCTTATTTACTGAACACCCTACATGTAATGATGCACATAATTGTTTACTTATAAATAGATTAAAAAAAGTTGAGAACATTATTTTGAGCAGAGCGAAAAATTTTTTTTTTATCTTGAAACTTAAGCACCCCAAATACAAAACATTATATGAGTCTATGATTGATTCTAAAAAAACATTCATTTTCTTCACTTTTTAAATATATCGATGAGCTAATTTAACGCCAAAATAGTCATTTACCTCTTTTTATGCACTAGACAATCGATATGACTATAGAATATTAAAATAAATTATATAATTATATATAAAAGAACTAAATTATAAAAATAAAATATATTGAGATGACAGGGTTTAGAGGAATCATCTTTAATATAAGAACACAAATATTTAAAAAATTAAATTTCTTATGCTGTATCAAACAACAAAAAAAAATGTTTGTAGTTTTAAAAAAATTATATAATTTATGCATTAAAAAAACTTCATATCAATCATAATTCACTTATTATAATAGATTTCATTAATATTATTACCACCAAAAATAAACTGTTTAGCGTTAATTTTAATTGATATTTTAAATAATGAAAATATTTTGGTAGCAATTATACTTGCTATCTACTTAACCCTATACTCAAATATAATGTAGGTTGAGATTAAGTAGGTCATCCTCATTAATATTATGTATAAAACTATTTTTTTTAACATCAGAACTAAAAAGTTTAAATATAAATAATATGTCAAATTGTATAGATGATTTTTGATGTTATGTTATTTTCAAATTAACTGAAGTTATTCGTTTTATTATTTAAATGGTCTTTCTGTCTCATAAGCACCATGACAAATGTATATATATATATTTATTAAAAAATTAACTTTTATAAATGTGTTATTAAAAAAAAACTACAATTTATTTTAATAATATTATTTTGATATTTTATTCAAATGAATTTGTTTACATCATTGCTGACTTCTTTTAGCAATTTCCTCTAACTCGTAAATAATACATATAATTTTCTTGGAATATTTCATTCATAAACATGCATGTTTATGAGTTTCTCAAAATTTTTTTTATTTTTAAAGTTCTATTTTATTTTTACTTTAATAACAATTTTCTAAACAAGTTTAATTCTCACGTAAAATTTTAATTTATACTTAAAATAAAATAGTACGATAAATTTATTCAAATTAAATTATTTATATAAATAGATTTGCACTTTATGTTATCTCTAGTGAATATTAACGCTTATTAGAGAGAACGAAAAAATCTATACAGCTCTACTGACCAGAATCCAACTCCCGTACCTCTGGTGTTGGATTCTGATGCTTTCCCGACTGAATTACTCTGGCCGCCTTATAAATTAAAATTAAAATGTCAATCATTAAAATTAATTTACCACATTATTTTTCAATCAATATATTTGTGGAAACGTTTTAATAAAATAAAATGACTAATATTAAAGTAGAATAAAATAATTTTTATATTTACTATGTTGTACACATTTTCCCAGTAGTCCAATGTTATTAATTGGAATGTAGTCAACATAGACCAAAGAAAATTGTCAAAATTTGTAAAACCATAATTAGGATTTGGTCCAATACCTATACAAACGTACCCAGATGGACAATGCCTGGAAATGAAATTGAAAATTAGTCTTTTTTATACGACATTTTTTATTAATTTAAAAATTTTTAATTATGTTATTTTTATTTTAAACATTTAAAAAAATATTTATTTATATCATTTTTTATCGTTATAATACATTATACATAGGTTAAAAAGGGGTTTTTATAACTCTAACGTTATATTCATCTTTTTGTTTTAATAAATGTTATTGTAATCTAAAACTTATTGATACAGTTATTATCGTTTTAAAACATTATAGTTATAATGTTATAAAAATATCTTCCAGTCGTATTTTATACTAATTTTAATGATAGGACACCTTAAAATTGTATTTATAGTTATGTATTTTTATATTTCATGATAAATAGGTTTATTGTACATGCATTCGATAAACAATGCATTTGTGTGATCTTGAGATTTTTTTATTTTTACCATCTACGTGTTTGAAATATGTTCCATAAATTTCAATTCATTTCTAAAGTCTGACATTGTGTACTGTACAGCGTTAAAGAAATACTTATAAATAAATAAAAGCAAACCAACAAACTCAGGGCAAGTACTTGTTTTGATCCAACGTACTATATAAATTCGCTGATACAAACCAAAAAATGAAATATATGTGTTACCTCTGTGTAAAACTTCCCATAGTCTCGTCGGTACTTAAGTGGTTAGTTTTATGCAGGTAAGTTAAAAACTCAAGAAATAAAGTGAAATAACGCGAAGGACTCACTAAAATATTTAACGCTTATTTCTCACCTCGCCCCGGTAACGTTTCCGCACAGCATTGGATTGCCTTCATTGTCCGATAACCAATTTTCTTTTTTATTTATCCATCTGAAAAAATCAGTCTGAGTTAAATAGTATAAGAAGTGAACAAATGTATCCGAGACACTAAGTATTTTTATGCTATATTTTATAAATAATTTTACAAATGAAAACAAACAAAAACTTGAAATAAAAATCATAAACAGTCTGCCGATGCTACATTATTTATTCAGCTTAATTTTCTATAATTAATAATTCCTAATTATTAGAACATAAAAAAATATAATGATTTTCGAGGGAATGTGCTATGATTATTTTTTAAAATCGTTAAGTATTAAATAGTAATTTTACATAAATAAAAATTGAAATAAACCAATTGTATATATTTTTTTTATCTCTTAGAATTTGAATATTTAAAGGTAATATCACAAACATGAAACAATTTATTAAACTCCATAATAATTCTATAATCACATTAAATTATTACCACATTATAAATTGTGTTCTTATGTATAGTTTGTATTAGGTATAAGAAAACACATACGCGTAGAACATTTTGTTCAATGCAGTTATTTAAAAATGTTTATATTTATAAATAGTTGTTAACTAATGTCTGGAATATGTTATTCGTACTAAATCGTTTGCCGTTCGGAGTTATTACACAAGTTCATTTTACCAAAAATACACATTTTGTAGTAGTGAGCGAATATCGAAGATTAGACTATAGTATCAAGGTAGTATTTGATTCTATATAGTGGCATCAATATACCATCACACATTTCCAAATTACATTTTCTCGTTTTTCGCAATATTACTATCTTGGTTACTTATTTCCTCAACTATAAGCCTTGAAGTTAATCTGAAGAAAATTCCATTAGGTTTTATGGAGTTACAAGTATTTGCCATTGATTAATGTAGATTTAAAACAACAAGAGCAAATCAACTTTCCAGTTTCAATTAGATTATTCGGTTTAATTTATAGAATAACTGAAATCATACTAATAGTGGGCGATTTTGATTTGTTAAATATTGATCCATGTCGCTTAATATTTTATTAAATTGTTGTTTGTGTCCGAAACTTTTAGGCTGCTGATAAGTTTTTAATTAGTTAATCTCTCATTCTTTATCCTTAAAAAAAAATATAAATTCTCAACTCAAATAAAAACAAAGAATAGTCGAACAAATAAAAAGAAAGAATTAATGATAATTTTTCTAACATTTATCAAAAATTACCTAGGATTTGTAGGTAAATAGTTTGTAAAATACTATAAAATATATCTTATAATACTACGTGTTTAATTTAAAATTTACTGTTTCTCTGATAAAATAATTAAGCAAATTCTTACTTAAATACATGTCATTGTGTCTAGCTTCAGTTATAAACAATATAAAATAAGTTACTATTACAGTGAGGTTGCGGTACAGTGGAGACATATATAAATGACATATGACATTGATTAACGTCACTATCATAAAAAAGCTTTGATGCAAATTAGTTATACTTCAAAATAATTTATATATTTGCAATTACATATTTTTTTTTGTTTTAAATAATAAATATTTTATACTAAATACTTAATAAATTGTTTGCTTAACTTAAAATGAAGAATTTTTTTTTTAATCTAACGGTTGATTTCTTATAGTAGAACAACTGTTGGGGTAATTTATTTTTATATTGTAGTATGCTTAATACGCTTTAATTTGATATAGGTTTAAATAGGGCAGACGTTCCAAGACATTTTCGAAAATTGAGTTAAAATTGGGTTGTCTCTTTCAAACCCATCTTATACTTGGGGTTTTCATTAAATTTCAAAAAAAGCATAAAAAAAGGCGGCTTATTATTTCTTGTATATGCCATTAGAGTCAGTGCATTTTTTAAGAGTTATAGCACAATAAAAAAAAGTAACGAAATGTTTACAAATATTTTGTGTTTTTTAACATTTAAGTCAAATAATTTTTAAAAATAGTATCATTTTTATTCATTAAGTACTTATAAAACGCTTTATTTTATAAAGACTTCAATAGCGGAGATGTCCCGAAACTTTCTCAAAAATTGAAAAGTTTTTTATAAATAAATTATGTTGAATATTGTACATTTTAAAATAATATCTCTAATATATTGGGATTGAAAATGTACCTTGAACACATTTTGCTAATGCATCTGTATCTATATTAATATGTTACCTATTATTTTATCTTAGAAACTATCCGAAACACTATAAATTGTAACCTAATTGTTATTAATTTCATTTCTATATAATTAATATTTCAAATGTTCTGACTTTATTCCAGGAGAAATGATACTTTATACATCCAAAGCGAAACGCATAATGTATACAAGAAAAGCATTAAACAATACTTACATCTGCCAGTTTACACTATTTTCGTTGATCATGACGCACTTGTTTCGAAGCTCGCCCATATAAACCTGTAGAGCAAACAAAGCGAAGACCATCAAACAAAATATAGTTAACGTCATAACTTCAGCTAATTGACGAAAGGAATGTAACAATGCATTGATGATCGTCTTGAGACCTAAAAAAAAAATTAGCCAATTAATTTTTAAAATCAAAGGATGAATAAATTACACTTAAATCAATTATAGCAAGTTAATGTGCTATAATTTTTCAAAGGAAAAATCTATAAATAGTGCAAGAATTGATTCAATAACAATTAATGTTTAATAATTAACTCAAAGAAAAATATTCTTTTAAAAAATTTATCTGATTGTGAGCCATAATACAAATATTTTATATAAGAAAATTAAAAATAATTGATTCAGTTCAACAAACCAGTCAGTCATAAATATATATATATATATATATATAGTATAACCCATATAAATTATATACAAATTATAATATCGATTATATAAATATAATATATCCAACTATATAATCGTAATCATTTTTTTTTGAGTAATTTTATTTATGAAATTTGAACAATGGACTTAAGAGAGGATTTTTTAATAATTAAAAGTAGTCAAATTTTGAGTGTAAAGATTTTGTTGGGGAAAAAATAATGGGTCACTGAAGAATTAATTTTATTTCCCATGATTATTAATGTAATTTTACTATTTATTTAAAAATTGATTAATTAAGTTCAAAACATTTTCATTTTTTTGAATACATTCTTTTTGTAAATTTTTAAGTTAAACTAAATGACAATTAAACTATATAATAACAGTTGAAATATCATAGATTAAAATAATCTAAAAATGTAATACTTTTCATAGAAATATTTGAAAAAATATTTGCATTCTAAAAACTTAATTTACATACTCTAATAGCCATTTTCTTTTAAATTTTAAAGTTTCAATCCGTTTAAAACGTAGTTTAAAATCAACTAATGTAACTAATATTATAGTAGAATTTTAATTAAATAAATAAATAAAGAGTTTGTTACCTAGTTTAACTTTTAAAATAATAAGGACAAGTAAAAATATAATTTTTGTACTGAGATAAAACCATTATATACAAGTTTTACTAAACTAAAATTAATTCCGTGCTAAAAATAATAAATATTTGAAAACTATTGTACAAACTCATTCAAATAGAGTAGTAATTGTTTTAATTTTTTTTTTAGAAGTTCTATTATAGAGGAACTAGAAACACTTATATTAATAAGTAAAAAAATCGTATAAGATTATTACGGTTAATCGGTGAGATTTAATCGGTTATTATTTCATTTTGTAAAAAAAAGAGCACATTAAACATTATAGGGAACTTAAAAATACCCCCCTTCAAAATAAATAAAAATACACAGTTGAAAATTTTTTTTTATTGATATTAGTAAAATAAAAAACCCAGCACAGGGGGGTCGCGGCACAGTGGTGACGTAGCATAGATGGATCAAGTATAATGATATCTGACAGTGATTAAAATCACTATAAAAAAAAAACGATTCGATGCAAATCTTTAGATAGTGTTTAATTTTAGAAAATTGGTGGATTATTCCAAAAGCTACATGATCTGCTAGTTCATTATTAATATCCTAATTAAGATAAAGTATGTCGAATGAAAAAGGGATTATTAAAAAATATTATTTCTCATAAAAAAATAATGTTGATCCATACATTTTTCAATATGTCATAGCATTATAAAGTTAAAAATGTAAAAAATAAAATCGAGAATTTTCACACAATAATACCATTCGATAGTCATTTTCACCGTGAAGATAAAATAAAGTCCGAATTTTTTTTTGCATAATAAAGTAAATTACATTAGCTTTAATTTAAGATATATATAAAAGTTTCAGACCTTCCGGAACATTTTCAAAAATCAAGTTGAAAAAATTAATTTTTTGTGAAAAAGTTGTCATTTAAATACCCCCCTGTGGGCAAGTAAAGGGTCACATATAAAAAAAAAACCAAATGATAGGTAAAGACATTATGCATCTATAAAAAAAAACTATATTGATTTGGTTAATTTTAAAAAAGTTATAGCAATTTTAAGTAAAAAAAATTGAAAAAATTTCGAAAATTAGCGATTTTTAAATTTGTAATTTTTTTGGTGGTTTCCCCCATTTACGAGGAACGAGGGAATTTTTTTCAATTTTTGAGGGTAATATCTTCGACTAGATACGATTTGATACGACGTATCATTGAAAGAAATCGGTTCGGTGAGAGCTGAGAAAAAGTGGCAACAAACAAAAAAAAAAAAAAACACATCTTAGTAATACCTTCTCAGCTTCGCATCAAAGCTAAAATGGATAAATTATGTTTATAATATATTTTTTTTAGTTTTAAAATTATGTATATTACAGTAGTGTTGATTTGTAAACAATAATGTACTGAATAGATAACAGGACGAGTAATGATTTAAGAATTCAGAATACTCGTCAATATATTATACTTTTAATAAAAATTATTGTGTACTAAACTTTTTTTAAAAATGTATTTTTCTGGTGATCTATTTTTTTAAATTTTTGCATTCCCTTGCCAACAAGTGAGAGTATGTGTTAAGAAGGTTACATACGGGAAAAGGAATGTGTATCAAAGACATTATTAATTTAAATAACGCTATATCCTATATATTAATAGGCTCAGATTCCATTTAATTTAAACAAATTTAATGGTTTAATCCATAAGAAAATAACTTATAAAACGTTCAGCATCGTTGAACGCATAATGACAAAAAAATAATCTACAAATTGAATTTATTGTAATGAAGTCTGAAGAATTTTATAACCATTTAAATGAGGAATATATTTATGTCTTTATTTAGTCATGAAAACTATCAAATATACCATTTAATCTCGAGTTAAAATTTTACACTTGTAAACGCTTTAGAATAAAAATATTTTTGTTGACCAACTTGGATACATTCTTTTTGAAAGTTTGTGTTCTTTGGTCATAGTTATCTACGGTACTTGTCAAACAGTTGAACTCAAGGGAAACGTGTATAAAGACGGTTTACAGCTGGACCGGAACTATAATTTATTAACTGTCGTTGGTCACGCTCGTTAATTGTTTAGTTTAGGTATTCAAATTAATTACTCACTTTGAAAGTAGTTATATACTATTTAACGAACAAATTCATTTAATTATAAATTTAAGGTAAATAAATTGTATTTTTTCAATATAAAAATTACTGTTATTTAAAATGTGTGACATCTTTAAATATTCATACGCTCAAATATCACAATGTTGATTGATATACAATATAAATATACNTTTTCAATATAAAAATTACTGTTATTTAAAATGTGTGACATCTTTAAATATTCATACGCTCAAATATCACAATGTTGATTGATTAAAATATTAATATACAACATAAAACATCATAAAAAATATTTTATATAAAAAAAGAATAGACAGCAGCTGTCGAGTATATTATTTATAATCCATAAAGAATTTACTGTGATAAAATCGACATAAAAGGTTTTTTATTTACTTGATTCTATAAGTTTAGGTTTTTGTCTCGGATCGAACATTGTGCTAGCTTTTAAACAATGAATAAGTAGTTTAAAAGTACTCTTCTTTAATAGGAAAAATTTTATTTATAAAAAATGTGCTCGTATTATTGAAATCGATAAATGAGTTTTTAATGTGACACATTGAGTTATTATTAAATTTTAATTATTAAATTATGATACATGCGGTGAATAAATTACAAAATGAGGTTTACGTGGGATGTAATAGCTTAAAAATGTACAACGACTGTTAAAACCTACTTTAATGAGGTCATTTCTGTGCCTTTGCTACATTATACATTAATTAATATTTTTCTTTTATGTGTTTAAGCACGCGAGATTTTTATGCTTTTTAAACTTAACTTTCATTACATAAAATTGGACAATTATTCAGTTTAAATCAATAAACTAACAGATGATCAATTATGAAAAATAGAATCTAAAAAATTAATTTAATTTTTTACAGAAATATCGATTTCTTTGAAGCGATAATTACAGGTTCAAAGATGAACTCTGTGAAGAGTTATATTTGTCTGTAAATATTCTAAATGATATAACAATCCATGAAAGCTTTAATACGTTCATAACTAAAAAAATATTTTAAAAATATATAAGCTGATTTAAAACTATTTATAATAAATAAAATTGCATCATTGAGCTATTTAAAGATTGAAACTACACTATCTAATAGGATATCCAATAGAATATCCATAAAGGACTAATACAGTTAATTCGCCATTAGTCGTGCAAAATCAATATTTAATAAAAAAAACAAATCATCTAAAAACGGTCACTAAATTTTTTTTTGTATTTGTTTCTCTGCCCATTAAAAAATCATGGGTACTTAATTATATCTTTGAATACTATTAATTAAGAAATAAGTAATGTGATTGAAACTCATTACCTTTCTATGATTTTTTAGTTAACATTGACTACTCCGTAATGAAACTAGTAATCATTGATAAGGTTATTATTATTATTAACATTAATAAATTATTACTTATATAATGTTCAATCAGATACTAATATAATAAATAATAAAACAAAAAAGTAATGAAACATTTAAAACTTGACTCATAAATACATAATTAAGTTGTATTTTATATGCTTACATTTTTAAGATATCAGTACAATGTAATAAACTATTAAATATCTCTTTTTATAAATATTTGATTAAAAATAAATACCCCTAAATTTAATGTGTTTTACTATTTAATAACTTATATTACAGAAACATGTATGAATTAAATCAAACAAATGTACATCAGTAAAGTTTGGAAAGATTTATGAGTTAATTTCGTAACACAATTTGTGTTTCATAAATTATTAGATGTATGGATTATTTTTATGCTGTAAATTTTAAATATTTCTAGACTTTCTCTTTTAAATCACTTTTTATATATTTTTTAGAACTTGTATAAAATATTGATAATTGAATAAATTATAGCTAATTTGGCAGTAATATTTTTGTACTAACTAATACACTAAATAATATATTATATATATTCAAACTATTTAATTGATTAATTAATTTGTGCGCTTGCTATGCTACAAGCTTCTATTAAATCTCTGAATAGCTAAATTTTAAAATTTATAAATGAAAATATTTTTTATTCGTAAATTAATTGAAAGCAATTATATAAAACAAACGAAATGTATGTTTTGAACATTTAGACAAAAAGCATTAAAAAGTTCCAAAGTAAAACTTTTGTTGTTGTATTTATGGACAGACGTATCGAATTTAAATTTTAATCTAGGGGTCCTGAAAATAAATAGAAAGAATTAGATAAGTTCAAAAAAATTAAGTTCCATTTGTTAAATAATTTTATAATGAAAATTGATGGCTATGGTAATGATATTTAATTTTAAAATCGCGTGTCTTTAGTTCTCAGAAAATAAAATATATTACCGTGTAAACAGTATCGAGGTCAAAAAAATGAGCTAACTAAAAATCAAAAGTAACGGTTTTAAAAAAGTATAAATATGTAAATGTTAGTACGGGACAATAACTATAATTAGTTTAGTCAGAAATTCTAGTTTATAAATCAAATTATTCACACTTTCTATATTAAAAAGATGGCATGATGATCATTTATCAGCAGATTTCACGTAGTAAACTTTATTGGTTAGTTTTTCATTTTGTAATCCTTTTGAGCGTATGAAAACCTTAATAAGACATAGGTTATAAATTATTAGAGATTACGAAACATTTTCAAAAAATTGAGAAGAAAAAAATGTTTAAGTGTAGAGAGTGGTCTTTTTTTTTTTTTTTAAATATTCAGTTAAGGCTAAGTAAGTTAATAATTTTTTTCTGATTTGTAAAGTTACTAAAAACTAACTTGTCAAAAAAAAAAAAACGATGGTACTCATAAGTTAAAGTTACACGACAAAGTTAAGTTACTTAAAATTTTATCGTTTTTAACTAAAGTAATTTATTGAGATATTGTCCCCTAAAAAAATTATTGAGAAAAATATTTACAATTATTGAGGATAATGTATTGAAGATACAAATATAATTCAAGTTCTTTTGATGTGTCGAATCTTAATTTGGTCCAATGAAATATGATCTTACAATCAATTATCCTTTCCAAACGATTAAATTACATTAGTAATTATAATTTAAGCGACAAACAACGATGTAACTGTTATTAAACGGGAATCATCACCGGAAATATATGCATTTGGCATTGAGGATTAAAATTGACATCATAACTGATTATATAAGTAATTAGTATTTCACAATCTCATCAATACAATATTCAACATAAGCTTTATTTTATTTTTGCTGATATATTTTAGGAATAATCTCAATTTTTTATTAGTAGAATATACTAATTTTTATTAATATATTCTAATTTAATATGATTAGTAACTATTTTAATATGGTTAAAATATTTGAGTGAATCTCGAAGAATAGAAAACAATTAAAATAACGAATACAAAAAAAATGGATTCCGATTATAACGATAAAACCGAAGTAGTAGGTTTGAATAATTTACATATTTATATAATTATAAAATAATTCATTATACACTATTATTTTTTTCTTTCTTTATTAAAAAAAAATCTGTTCATAACATTTACAATAAGTTTTTTTGTTGATTTATTCAATTATATTAATAGCGTTAAAATGAAGTCACCCATTGGTAACACCTCGATTAGTTTTAGTTGAAGCTGTATACAAGTTATGGTTTTATTGCTGTCGTTAATTTGTTAAATCAGTAGGTCTCGGTTCCATTTACGTTTGAGTCTTCGTGGTGGGTTGTCAGGTATTGAAGTTGTGTACATTTTTTTAATTAAAAGGTTTGAATTTGTATTAAGTTTTGAGTGAAATCTAGTATAGTGTAAAATAGTAAGTTCTTTGACAGTTTTGATGTTTAAATCTTAGTGTGGGTTATTATTTGTTACATACCACGGCCCACCAGTTAACATTTGTAATGTTATATTTTGAAAGGGATTGTATTGGTCGAATATTGGATGGTTTAGCTGGTCCCCATATTTGTATACCATAAGACCAGACTGGTCTGATTATTGACTGATAAATAAGTAATTTTGTTTCGAAAGATAATTTACACTATTTAAAACGTATTATTAACTTTTAATATTTTTTTACGATTAATTTACTAGACCAATTAATTTTTTTTGTAAAAAATACTCTGCAAAATAGCCATTTTAAAATTAAAAAAATTTTATTATTAAAAGATAAATAGAAGATATGTTTTGATGTAATTTAAGGATGCAAAAGTTGTTTAAAAAAAATTAAATCAAAATGATAAATGCATCAAAAATCATAAGAGTTATCAGTTTATTGGACGTCGTATAATTATTTAACATTTGAAGGATTGTATGTATTAAACGTTGGATAAAGATACATAAGTTTTTAAATATATTTAAATATTATAGTTAATAAATCTATGTATACTACATATATATAGATTTATAGGTGTTTCGTGAATTGTATTACAGATACGTTCCACCCAGTATATATCTATGCATTGTATTACCTGGCATAATTGATACTGTTTTCAATGCTCTAAGCACTCGAAACGTTCGTAATCCAGCTAAATTTCCTACATCCATGCCGATTGTGGCGTAACCTGAAGTAATAACAATGAAGTCAAGCCAATTCCACGGGTTCCGCAAGTATGTATACTTATTTAGTATAAACCCCTTTGATATAGTTTTGATTACCATTTCGGCCGTGTAGATGGCTAAGAAAACGTATCTAAAATATTTAATTATTTTTATTACTATTATTTACTTATAATAATTTGTTTAGAGAAATCGCTGATTGTTAAGCTTAATAATTCTCTGCATTATTTTAATCTTATATAATCAATTAAATAAGTCTCGCGCCCTCCTCCCGAGTAAAACAAACCTGAAAAATTAAAAAGGATGTAAGTTATGGTTATAGGTACTTTAAAATAATTTGCAAGGGTGTCTAGCAATAACTAATGAAGGCGAAAATGTTCATTAGCCTAAACAATTACTGTATAATAATTACTTACTTAGATGTACCGATATTATGTACTTCAGCGTACTTTTGTTTATAAAAATTATTTTTTATTTTTTTTTCGTATCATTCGTATTCTCTAAGAAACATCTTGTACACGAAGACACAAAAAACACTTTAAAAATGTAGGTCATTATTTTTCCAAATGAAAAAAAAATCATGCACGTATGATTTTAATTACTTATAAGATTACTATTGCTAAACAATTATACTCATTGATTTTATCTAACTAATAAATATAATAATCAAGAATTCCAATATTAAACACAAGCCTTTTTTATTTAAGCTAGCTTGTTGAGTATTTTTGATCATATTTATCGACCTATAATACAGTAATTATTATGTACTTACTGCTGAAACAGATTTTTGACTTTTTTTTTATGAAAATTGTGCTTCTATCTTATAATTTAATCCAATCAGCAGAATTCTAATATGATTTTTTATAATTAACTAAATAAGTAAATACAAATTTTCTTAAAATATGCTTATATCGACTTTAACCCCCTTTCTCTGAGATCAAAAATATTTATAAATTAATTTTTAGAGTTAGTGTACTTCTTGTTTTATTTAACTTACTCAGCCTCATCAACCGAATCAGTTTTGGCTAGGAAGACACAATTGAGCAAAATAGTGGTCATCACCACATAATCAAATATTTGATTTGTTGAAATATAAATGCATAGTTGGCGAAATAAATTCCATGGTGAAAATGCGAAGAAAGACTTGGTAGCTGTAAAACGATGTATATAGTTTTTTCTGAACCTTTTTGATACCACACAAAATGTCTGAAAAAACAATTTATAAGTAAATAATTTAATTAAAAATATAACTTTTTTTTTTAAACACTTTCAGAAACAAATTATATTTAAAAGAGAAACGGAAATGCAGAACCAAACTTAAGGGACGGGTAAGCATTAAATACATATAACTCAAACAGTACATATTATACATTAGAGAATATTTAGAATGATTACAATATTACAGTATTTATATTGTATATTTAGAGTTGTAAGTAAAGAAGATATCAGTTTTTAAATTGCCATTAGAACATGTATATTTTATTAGTTATAAATGTAGCATTGTAACATGACAAGTATAATACTATAATGGTTTAATCCTTCTAGATATGACACTTCATTTTTTGTTAAAATCATTCAAAGTTAATTTTTCGTGATGAGTAGTCCTAGGATAGGCTGAGAATCGATTTTAGAATGATCTAATTTAGAACTTTTAAAATTCCCTAAGCATGTGTTATAAGCTCTTTAGTATTATAACTACCTAAGACAACTGATAATAATATTATAAATGAAATGATAAATAAAAATGTGTAATTAGTGATAATGATTTTTTTGTACTTTTAAGACTCTAAGTTTATACTATCATTTTCATATTTTGTAAATTTTTTAAGATCCCATGTTGGAGAATGAAAGGTAAGCTACAATATAATTGTATTATTATCTTCCTTACTGATATTAATTGTATAGGAAATTATTCGAAATATTTTATTATAATGCTGGGCAAAATGACAAACTACTGTGTCATTTTGCCTGAGTTATTTTTTATATTTAATTTAATTTAATTTTTATTATACTTCTAGTTACAATGGTATCGAATTATAAACGTAAAACCACACGACAGTTATGGACAGAAAGTGATATGAAAAAGCTATATCTGCTATAGACAAAAAAGAAATTGGTTGGCTTAAGGCGTCTAAAAAATGTAATGTTCAAGCTACTCTTCGTCGTCAATGTCAGGACAAAAATAAATTAGCTATTGGTGTTACGAAAACACTAAGTCGACCTAGCACTTTTTGACCTTCTTTGAAAAAAAAAAGTTGAGCACATACCAGAAATGGAATCTAGATTTTTTGGATTTACTGTGAAAGAAGTTCAGAAATTGGCCTATAATGTAGCAAAAGAAGCTTGTATACCTCATATATTTAATATTAAAAAAAAAGAAGCGGGTCAAGATTGGTTGTATTATTAATTTAAAAGATTTTTTAATATATAGATTAAAGAAGTTACTTATGTTTTATTTTATAATTAAGAACCCAAGTTTTAAATTAAAATATTTTAAGTCTGAACAGTAAAATTTTTATTTAATTAATTTTATTAATTAACTTGTTTTGTTGAAAATAATAAAGTATTGTTAAATATTGTTATAAATGTATTAAATGTATTTTAATTACAAAACAACATTGAAATTAAACATTCACTTGTAAGTATTTGAAAAAATATCATGTATAAAAGTAAATATGTCATTTTACCCGACCGTCAGGGTAAAATGACAGTACATCATTTTTTAAAAAAAATGTATATATATATTTTTTGAATTGAGCATCTCTACTTGTTTGTGAGATATAATAAAGTCTATATACCAAATTTGAAGTTTTAACTCACAATATTGACTTTTATAAATCAATATTAAAAAATAGTATGTCATATTAAGCTGATCTCTCCTAATATGAGGAATTATACAAAAACTTCACTAAAAATATTGTTCTAATAATGTTAATGTGAAACATATTCATCACATCGACCTATTAGCTATTAATAGCTGATAGCTCAATTGGAGAACAACTATAAAAAATTACATTTGGGTTTGCTAATTAATTTTCTAATATTTATACCATGAAATCTATCATGCTTGATATTGATGTTCAAAAATTATATAACTATTCATCTAAAGCTAGTCTTTACAAAAAATTAACTCCGATTTACCAAAATTTTAAAATTATTAATTTTCATAAAAATTGAAACGACGAAAATTATAACTAAGCATGTATATCATTCGGAAAATGAATTTATACTAATATGAAGTATTTGAATTTAAGTTTTACTCTTCTTATAATAACTTTCATCAAAACAGGGCCGGATTTAGGGGAGGGCTGAGTGGGCTGCAGCCCAAGGGCCCCCACAAATTTGGTATACATTGGTATCACAAATATGATAATAACTGTTATTTAATAAGTAAAAAAATATATTTCCTTGTTTATGTATAAGGGGCCCCCACAATGCATTCCGCCCAGGGGCCACCACATACCTAAGTCCGCCCCTGCATCAAAATATCAACAATTTGGATTGAATCGGAATTAAACTATTAAGAAAATTTATAAACATTAGCATGTAATCAGAAAAGTAATTATTATTTACGACATCCTGAAAAGTGAGAAAAAGTAAGTTACTGTTTTATTCGTTGCGTATATTGATATAATCATATTGTATATACGATATATATCTACATGATATATCAAGAAATGGATAAGATTTAAATAATGATGTGTATTAATGGCAAAATAATTTTCATTTTAGTTTTGGTCAAGTTTCAATTATATTTTAATTCGGTAATAATACTGTAATTTTGATATTGTTTAAGTTTGGATAAATATTAGGTAATGATTAACTTCAAGTAAGAGAACATAACCTGCCAAATTGATTAATTAATATTTTTAATATACAGAGTGTTCAGTAAATAAGGAAACGAATTTCTATTGTACTCATTGTTTGTAACAATTTAACTGTTTCCTAACTTACTGAACACCCTGTATAACTTAGATTTTGTAAAACACTTGAAATAATCAAGTAAATTTAATGACAATTAAAAATATTCTTATATACTACTTCTAAAGATATCATCAATATTTCTTAAAATAGGGTAACGGGAAGATTTTAATTACTAATAGCCGAACTTTAGAGAAGTCCTTCGTAAAGTCATAAATTTTCACTTTAAACTTTTCTGACTTAGTTTTCTATTGTTTTACATCATTTGACTTCTAGATTACAATGAAGTTTAATGGCTATACGTATGTATACCTATTAATCTAGGAATTTACGACCTATAAATTTACAAATCTAATGTATTGCTCTAATAAAATTATACTTCTAAAATAGAGATTGAATAATTTAATATACAGTATTATATATTGTGTAAAAAACTTTCTATAGATGTTTAAATAATAATAGAACAAATATTTCAAAGAATAATATCAACTAATATTACCTAATTAGTATTTTAAAATTAAAAACTTAATTTATTAAGGTTTTGTCTAGTGATATTTGATCCAATCTCAACCGAAGTTAAACCTAACTAACCGAACAACCGTTCAGCTTAATTTTCAAGATTGAAGTGTAGTCAGTTTTTTTTTTTGATGGTTAACAAAAAACTAAATTTTTGTATTGAAAAAGATGGAAAAACAGTACACCGGTACGCAATCGACCTTAATATCTACGGATTGAAGCAAAGCAAGTCCCCGAGTTATACAGGCTGCAAATTTGTAATTAAATTTATAATAACATTTTATTTTTATGTTTTTAAATAGTTAAAAATATATGAAAATTAAAAAATAATAAACTATTTGTCAAAAACATAACTGTTGTTCAAAATACAGACTGATGAATTATTCCATCGTTTAGTGACACAAAGATCAACTTTGTCATGGAATAGTTTATTTTATCTTGAAACTTTGTTTCTTTAATAAAAAGTTCATCAAAAAGTTTTTAAACGTTTCGCACCAATGAACCGATCAAAAAGATGTATATATCTACGACAGATATTTGGAACAAAATTTACAAACAATTGTTGACAACTTCATAAAATCGCCTAACGGCTAAAATGTAGATTTTTTAATTTAAAAATAAATGTTATTTTACTCCATTAACTCAAAATCATATTTTTATTAATAATTATTTTTAAATGCCTTACATTATATAATCATTATTTACGTATCTGTCTACAGTTATTTATATAATTGTCAATTTCATTTAAGTTTAATGTGATGAAAAGTTTGAGATGAAAAGATTTTTAATAGGAATAACATAAACTTATAGATCATTGGATAAATAATAAGTTTATTTTATAGTTAAGAACTTTTATACATTTTTAGCGATTCAGTATGTAAAAATAAAATAAAAGTAATTTTAAATTGATTTTCTTGCGAAACAAATGATTTGATCATTTAGTAATTTAGTACGTTAATCATTAAAAAAAAAAGTTGTCTGTATTACAAAATGAACAAATTCAATGTACAGTAAAAATTTTAACATCGAAAGCAAACATTCTGTGATTTAATATGTTTCAGGCTAGTTTTATAAACGATTTGTCATAATCACAACCGACATTAGATGGGGTGACAGCACAACTATGGAATTTGACAATTCAAAACATAGCTGTGTATATTGAACATGTAATGTTGATAAACGAAAATGAAAATAGCAACATGAAGAAGGTGGTAAATAACTATGTTAACCTACACAAAGTATAAGTTTACTCCAGTACCCTTAACCAAAACATTTTCGTGCGTTGTTATCGCCAAAAGATATCTAAAATGACGTGGGGTCGACTTAACGTTTCACGTCATGCATGGAATTATGCAGAATTATAACAAACTTAAAAACTCAGAAAACCGCCATGAAATGAGCTTGGGTAGTTTCATCGATTAAAAATGTACAATTAAACAAATATTTAAAAATATAATCTTTTCCTTTATGGACACAATTAATGGTGTGAATTTGGGCTTTTAAATTTCTATTAACTTCAAATTAAAGCTAAAAAAAATGCAAATATTATTTATACAAAAAAATATTTTTATATAATAAGAATGCTCAATGTTAAAATTAATGTTTTGTAAAAGTAATGTTAATTTGAAAAAAAAAATGTCTAAATAATTACTCAAAACGTAAAATCAAATAAAGATTCGAAATCCTAATTGAAATGTAACTAATATTAAACTACTTGAAAGAACATTTTTCATGATTCTAAAATTTAATTCTACCATATTTAAAGTTATTTTAGTTTACACAATATTATTAAAATACTGTATTCAAAAATTATTATAATTTACACTTTTTAATTTGAAATTGATTTTAATCTTATTTGGTTAAAAAGTATCATATATTAAAATTAAAGAAAATTTTAGTACAAATTTAAGTTAACATACTAATAATAAAATAAAGTATTATGAGAACAAGAGTTTTTTTAAGTATATAATAAACAAATATTAGACCATATTAAATTATACACATAAACAAATTTTTTAAAAATTCTTTCTTTAAATAATATATATTATCATAAAATTTTCTTTTGCGCTATATACAGAATGTCCCACCAGGAATTGAAATCTTTAATAACTTTGCTTCAGTCAATAATTTGCGTAACTTACTTTTTATATTTCATAGTTTTTTACTACATTTAAAACATATTTTTTCTTATTAGTGAATTTAAAATTAATAATAATAATTTTTTTTTAATTTCTTAAACATTTTTTATTTATTTGTAGGTCATTTCATTAAAAAAATTCTGATAGGTTGATAACAACATCAAGATAAGTATTTATTGAGTTGCAAATTTTTAACACAAGTGGGTATGAAGCGCATGATGAGTACAACTTGTACTAGTGTATATTTATAATGTATACTCTACCCGCGCTACATTCCCTTTCATAGTATTAAAATACCTCTAACTTAACAAGTATTTGTGATACAGTTGTTATCATCCATTAAAAAATTATGTAAGAAAAATACTTAAAACTGGCTATTTTGAATTTAAAAAAAGTAACAAATTTTTTTTTCATACATAATTAAAGATTTTATTTAATTTTTAAAACGAAATAAAATTATTATCAAGGAAAATTTTAGTTGTCAACGTTCTTTTTTAAAGTTGTAATTAGTATCCATATAGTTTTATAAACAATTAGTAAAAGTATTGTTGTTAGTTTCAACAGCCATTAATCACGTTGTTGTGGAATGAAGCAACAGAGCTAAAATAATAAAAGAAAAAAGTATCCAAAATATATTTAACTACCAAGAACCCACTTTATGTATAAGAATAAATGTATTCAAAAGATATTGTTATATATTTTTTAAATATCTATAAACATTTTATTTTATTAATAATAAATAAATAATTTTCGATTAATTTATATTAAATAAAAAACCAATTCAACGGAAGCCGTCTTATCCGATTGGCGTACGTCCAGCAATCGATAGTATATAACATAACAAGATAGACATTTTTTATTTTGCAATAAACACCATAGCTAATTTTTATTTTAGAAGTGAATGTAATAGAATTTTTTATAAAG